CGGGCCATGGTCCCTAGATATTTTGTCAAACATCATTCTGAGCGTTTCTAGGATGTTTTCAGATGAGATTTACATTCACATCAATGAACTTTGAGTCAAGAAAAATGCCCTCCATAACGTGAGAGGGGTTGATTCAATCAGCTGAAGGCCTGAATAGAACAAAAGACTGACCTCTCCCAAAACAAGAGGGAGTTTGGCAACAGAAATCTTATGAACTTAAACTGCAACATCAGCTTTTCATGAGTCTCGAGCCTGCCAACCCAGACTGAAGATTTTAGATTTTCCAGTCTCCATAATTTTGAGCCAATTCTTTAAACTAAAGCACTGTGTTCTGTATGTCTCTGACACACACACACACACACACACACACACACAATTGATTCTGTCTAGAGAACCCTGACTAATATTCCCTGCCATAGCTCATCTTAGCACACCTATTCCTATCTGTCAAGTCTGGAAATGTCATCTCAGAACCTTGGGGCTGCAGTTGGTTTTAAAGGACCTACTACTCTTCATAGATGGTTAAGTTGGAAGCTCTGAGAGTAGAAGGAGCTTCTCTTATATAGATTAGTAGTTACTTCTATAATTAAAAAATATATCTATCCCAATGCACATACTTTTATTCCTATCACTGTTCTTATAAAGCTTTTATCCCATGACTGTCACTGTATGAGCTTAGGCACAGTCACTTTACTTCTAGAAAAGGCTGAGGGATAAATTAAGGGACATGACTATGGTACCTTCTGCTCAACAACTTCAGCATTTCTTTAAGAGGAGGGTAAAAGGCATGACACTTTTCTTTTATCATTTTCCTTAGTCTTTCCTTCAATTGCTAGGACATGTTCATACATCTTCCATTGACAGGACACTAAAAACACTGACAGAATCCTAAAATAAGAGACAAATAATCATGTTAAGAATTGTTCTCTCCCACCATGATTGGACAAAATAGGAGATAAAATTTTCCTTTAAAAGCAGGATAAACACTATAATGTGTGCTCTATATTCTGGTAGTATTATAAAAATCTATTATAGACATTGTTAAGTAGATGCATCAAGAGATATTTAAGTACTTTTTTTTTTCCTTTTTTTTTTTTTTTTTTAAGAAGAAGTCTCGTTCTGTCACCCAGGCTGGAGTGAAGTGATACGATCTTGGGTCACTGCAACCTCCTACTCTTGGGTTCAAGCAATTCTCTTGCCTCAGCCTCCCTAGTAACTGAGATTACAGGCACCCACCACCATGCCATTTTTGCATTTTTAGTACAGATGGGGTTTCACTATGTCTGTCAGGCTGGTCTCGAACTCCTGACTTCGTTATTCATTAGCCTTGCCTTCCTAAAGTGCTGGGATTACAGGAGTGAGCCACCATGCTCAGCTATTGTCTTTTTTTATTGAGTTTTTCCTCTCAGTCCTGAATTTGTCCCCTTAGTTATCAATGTTTTACTACTATTTTATTAAAACAAATATTTTATTTGTTTAGCTAAGTATATATTTGAATATGGGTTTGTATATATGTAATATACAACTTCTCAAATGTTGAAATATGTAAACGTCAAAAATGACATGAAAGAATTACCACAGACACATAATGAATCCTTGGTATATTATTTCCACATGCAGCATTTCTCTGCTATATCATTCAGATCACCTTGTCTTGCATGGGAACAAACCCACTGCCCTGAAGTTTTACTGCATTCATTTTGCAAATGAAGGAAAAAAAATACTGTACATGCTAGTTCATCATCCTAGATGTGAGGACCAGCTGCACTTTCTGCTTTGTTTATGAGCATATTTTACTTCAGGTAAACATGGTAATTCTGGCAGAAAAATGATATGGATCCTTCCATTATATATTCATTATTTTTTAAAAAAATTTATATTTGTACAAGGAAAGAATGTTAAATTAGAGGAAAAAAAACTTGAATTCATGTCTTGGCTCTGCCATCTTGATTCTAGGTAAGCTGATTAATCTTAGTTTCCACATCTGTAAGTTGGGATAAAAGCATTTACGTTATAGGGAGCTGTGAAAATGAACAGAAGTATTTTGCATAAAGTTTTGCAGTACCTGGACATTGCTTTTGTTCAGTTAATTATTGTTGAACTCATTCCCTTCTGTAAAGAAAATAATTATAATACATGCTTTATCTTGTAAGCAAACTATGATTAAAAATGTAGTACTAACCACAAATACTCTTAGGGATAATTTTAGAGGAAAATGCAAACATAAAGTATGATAACTTGTATATACACACGTGTGTGTGTGAGTGTGGGTGTGTGTGTGTTTCATTCCACATTAAAAAAAAATTCCATGTTAAATCAGTTAGTCCTAGTTCCAATCATCATAACTGGGGCACCTTGCTTCCTTTCATATGCCTGTCCCAGCTTTTAAGTTCAGTTCTAAGCAATAGGAAAAATGTTAGTCGAAATGTTTCAGAAATGGTTGACATAAAGTCAAGTCATTGTTCTCACTGTAAATTAATGAAAAACTGCCAGTTAACATTTTATTTCAACCCTGCTGACAGAATCCATATACACAGAATAGCATGAGCCAGCTGGAGAAGCCCTCCACTCAAAAGAGGGAATGAGTCATTAATTCCTTTTCCCAGGTTTGGGCAACTGGAGTACAATTCCTAGAACTAAACAGGAGGGAGGTTTTATCTGTCAGGAGAGTGGGCTAGAGATAAAAGAGAAATGGAAATTATTTGCTCCTTAGAAATTGAAAAAGGTTAATGAACAAAGCTCAGCCAGGAAAAATTGTTTGGGGAGACACCCATTCATAAAACTAAATTTCTGCTTCCTTTGCTCCAGTTATATTAACGCAGGCAAAGCTCATGGTCAGAGTCTTCAATGGATACCCAGGGCTACCCTGGAACAATACCTATAGCAAATCAGATCCTCTCAGCATTAATTCCGACCTGTTGCTTGTGGTATTCGTCTGTTTAGTGTTGCTATAAAGGAATACCTGGGACTGAATAATTTGTAAGGAAAAGTTGGTTATCTGGCTCATGGCTCTGTAGGCTATACACAAAGCATGGCACCAGCATCTGCCTCTGGTCAGGAACTCAGGAAGCTTCCAATCATGGAAGGTGAGGAGGAATAGGCATGTCACACGGTGAGAAAGCAGGCAGGAGAGAGGGAAGAGAAGCACCAGACTCCTTTAAACAATCAATTCCTGCATGAACTAACAGAGTAAGAACTCATTCATTACCACTGGGAGGGCACCCATGACCCAATCACCTCCCACAAGGCCTCACCTCCAACATGTGGAAGTCGCATTTCAACATGAGTTTTGGAGGGGACTATCTTGATCACTTGCTTAGGAGGATTTGATGTTTTCTCACTTATACATATGGAAAAGGACAAGAACAACACTACTAAATAGTTTGCTATAAGTATTTGGTAGTGTTATTAAATTTAAATTGGCTGATTAAAATTGGTGTAGGGAGTGGACCTACTGACTCCTAAGTGTGTCGGAAGAACTCCATGATTACTTCCTATTGGCCTCTCTGATGGAGATCCCAAGGGAATTCAGCCCCCAAAGGAAGGAGCTGGTCTGATATCCACAAAGCCTCATCCAAGCCTCATACTCAGCTTCTCATAATTACAAATCAAACTGCCAACCATTCTCATAGAGAAACCTGAGTAGTCAGATTCATTTTCATCAAAAATTCTAAGCATATTCACTTCATCCTGTATAGCACCTATATTAGGCTTCTCAAAGTTCCTGATATCAGAAGTTTCAAACCCAGTGTAAAATTACACTTTCAGCTAAAAAACTTTTGATGTCAGTTCCTACAGTAATTACATTTAGCTAGAATTTTTTTACTTTCAAAAGCAATATATGATTAATGTAAAAATTCAAAAATGCTAAAGAGTATAAAAGAAAAAACTAAAAGTTACCCATGATCATATGATTCATTCAATTAATCTATATTTCTTACACCTACTATGTGCCAGGGACTCTAGATATAAGCACTGTTAATACTTATGGTCTAACTTCAGAAATGAAGGTAAGCAAATATTCATATTTATGCTGGTAGTACTTAACAATTTTCTTTCCATGTGTTCTCATCATTTAGCTCCGTGACTTAATTTTATCCTAAACCTGTTGCTTACAAACAAACAAGTGAATACAAACACTCAACTTGAAATAAATAACAGAATAACATGCCTGAAACATCTCAGAATTATTTTCTTTTTGGTATTTAACAATACATTTCTAATCATTTTGGAATATTAAACGCCTTCTAGTTTACTTGTATATCTGAAATATGCACACATGATCAGTTACAGATGTAAGAGTCAACTAAAACAGTCAATAAAATGAAGGTCTGAATAAAACTGCTGCATTTCTAATCAGTGATATTAACTATTCAGAGCCTTGAGTTTCCCCTGAAACCAGCATTGCTCGTGAAAGGGTCAGGAGAAGTAAGCCACACCACTCTGGGTGGTATCAATGGTAAATGGTATCTGACTCTGTGAAGAGGTACCTAAGCCATTTAGGCAAAAAAGAACAGAGGAGGAAAGAAGACATGATGATAACAATTTACAGGTTGGCTCTCCACATCTGTGGGTTCGACTTCCATGAATTCAACCAATCACAGATCAAAAATATTGGAAAAATAAAAGTTAAAAACGTGGCTGAGCATGGTGGCTTATGCCTGTAATCCCAGCACTTTGGACGGCTGAAGCGGGTGGATCACTTGAGGTCAAGAGTTCAAGACCAGACTGGCCAACATGGTGGAATGCCATCTTTATTATAAATACAAAAATTAGCTGGGTGTGCTGGATCGCACCTGTAATCCTAGCTACTTGGGAGGCTGAAGCAGGGATAATTGCTTGAACCTGGGAGGTAGAGATTACAGTCAGCCGAGATTGCACCAATGCACTCCAGCCTGGGTGACAGAGTAAGACTCCCTCTCAAAAAAATTATAATAATAAATTAAAAAGTTTAAAACATTAAAAAATAATATTGATTTTAAAAATGCAGTATAGCAATTATTTACATAACATTCACATTGTATTAGGTATTAAAAGTCATCTCTTTAAAGTATACAAGAGAATGTGTGTGGATTTTAGGCAGATATTATGTCATTTTATATGAGGGATTTGAGCATTTAGTTTTGATATCCATGGGGGTTCTGGACTACATTGGAAAGAAAGGAGAAAAATTACCCTGTCCAGTAATATTTGTACAATTCAGTAAACTTTTCTTCTTCTAAATAATGTTTTGTTTACTTGTTGTTATAAATACTCAAGTAATCTTATAAGTCGAATGACCAGTGTACCCCTTTTCCTGACCAGCATGATTTATTCCTGTTACTCTGGTGTGATTCTTAATAATTTCCTGGTTTGGGTATAAAAAATATTGACAGTCATAGAAGAGTCTGGAAGCTTATATTTTGGGGGCATAGAAACTTCAAAAAATGTTTAAGGGTGTTTTTATGGAATTATGTCTACCAGAACTCTACTTTTATTCAAGGACTAACATTTACATGGAGCTTACTTCAGCCAGTCACTGTTCTAGCTCATTATATATCATAGGTCATTTGACTCACTCACAGCAACCCCACGAGGTAAGCTGTTATTAACATTTCTGTTTTACATATGAGGATACTGAGGCACCCTGCCTAAAGGCACACCACAAAAAAAAAAAGTAGCCTGCTTGAGATTTGAACTCAGGCAATCTGAATCAAGGTAACTTGTTTTAACCACTACATGCCTTTCAAATCTATTTTTTAAATTAAATCAGTTAGTTCTCTTGGCTGTTTACACTGATTGAAAAGAAAAAACATCAATAGCCCATAGTCAATAATTTGTTTATAAATCCCACCCAGTATAGGACAATGAGAGAAATCTACAATATTTATTCCTCTTTCCACATTGCCATTTCCCATGAATTCGTAACAGACATTGATTGAAAATGAAATAGCCTAAATTGCATTGCCCTTCATTTCCCAATAATCAGTGTCAAGAAAAGAAATATGGCTACCAAATCAATTAGATACTCATAATTCCCAGACACACCTACCCCTGACCCACATCCACTGCTCTGAGAATTTTGAGGAACAAGATCAAGACTTAGAGGCTTTCAAGAACACGGTTCCATTTACAGAAAGAAAAAAGGAAAATTCAAACGACTTTCATTCATTCAGCCACTTTGCTACCAAATCATATCCTTCAATCTGCAATTAAAATCTCATAAATTCTTTTTCAAACATATATTTAAATACACTTAAATATGAGGCTCAAGCTTCTTCAATTCTAATTATGCTTGAGTATCTGACCTCCTTGCTAACATCAGGTTTGAAGAATATGGGAACTGTTACTAGGAATTGTTACAGCGAAAAGAAGTGACACCTGGCTGCTAAAAAGATGAATAAAAAAATCTCAAAAGTAGATGTAGAAGTGTCTGGATTGCAGTGAGTAATGTATACCAATATTGATGTCTCCCAGTAGCCATCATAGAAATTAATAAGTTACATTTGGCATCCTTGGTCTAGTATAATATGTCTTGAAAGAGTTATGTTAATAACTTTGAAATTATTATTAACTGTGAAAGTTTGTGGTGGCTGTTTAGAATCTTAGTAACCTTAGTTAACTTTCTAGAGATTGTCCTTGTCTAGTAATATTTGAACAACACAGTAAACTTTTTGTTAATAATACCTGATATCCAGTAAGTCATCCACCTTGATTATGAATAAAATATTATTTTCTGTTAACATGCATAACAGCATTTAAAAGAACTTGACAAATGAAAGAGATAGGACATGAAAAAAAACACCTTCCTCATCTATGATTGCCTCCATAGTGATAAACTCCAAATGAAAAATTAAATTACACATGACCTGAATGCATTGTTTACCTAATCTAAACCAACTGTATATTTGAAACACCTGGATCATTCAATGAACATGTGACATTTATCCTTCTGTGTGGAAGTGCAGAGATGCAGCCTAAATGACTGTTAGTATATGCCTAGATATGTTTTCCCAGGAGGGTAGCTATAGTTTTCTTAGATTTCCCTTCTGTAAAACAAGGGTGGTATTAAGCACATCGTTTGTCTTTCAGACACTCGATTCAGCTTTAGAAAAGAGAGATGCATAAAAACAGAGCATTTATGCTATAATTCCATGATGAAGAATTATGCCACCAAGAAGAGCTGGATGGAATTCTGCTTTTTAAGGATGAAGTCTGCTGCAGAGAAATCTGCCAGGACTTTTCCATTTTTATTCCTGTGTTCTATTTTCTACCTCCAAGTTTAGTAATCCTTGGTATATGTTGGCAGAGCATAAGCTTTCTCCTTGGTTCCAACTTCCCCTTGTTAACCTGAAATGAAATCCTATAAAGCTCTGTGCAGAAAAATTACAGGACCAAATGGAAAGGTTGCATTAGCTATCTTCTGTTTCTAGCTTCTGCTTAATGCTCTAATCACAAGATAGTGAATGACGCGGTACACCCAAGGGGTAGGAATGGAAAAAAACGAGATGTTGAATAGATCTATGTATCTCTTAATGGAATATCCTCAGAGATAGAGACCAGAACTTTCACAGTATTAATTTCCCTAAACATCTAACTTCCTAAAAATAACCTCAGGCTATCTTTTTGACCCAATTTTTTCCCCCAGACCTGATGTCAGACACTATATTTAGGACAGAAGCCGGTTCAGAAGATTTCATCCCATTCATTCAAAATGCCCCCTCTCACGAGAGATGTTAATAATAGAAGTGAACAAGAACCAGAAAACTTCATCAAAAGTTTTGAAACTCAAAAGTGTGGGGGGGGGGCAGAGCTATGAGTTGTTATTCATGCCATTGTTGTCAACAGGAAGCTCCTTGTTTTTCAGAAATTAACAGAATAAATTCTTAAAAACTTTATTATTTGCCATGAAGCCAATGGGGCCTCAAGAAATAAAAATTTGCACTCAATTTAAAATAAATCACCCTTTCAGTATGATATTGGCTGTGGGTTTGTTGTAAATCGTTTTTATTATTTTGAGATATGTTCCATCGATACCTAGTTTATTGAATGTTTTTTAGCATAAAGGGCTGCTGAATTTTGTCAAAGGCCTTCTCTGCATCTATTGAGACAATCATGTGGTTTTTGTTTTTGCTTCTGTTTATATGGTGGATTATGTTTACAGACATGTGTATGTTGAACCAGCCTTGCATCCCTGGGATGAAGCCTACTTAATCATGGTAGATAAGCTTTTTGATGTGCTGTTGGATTCGGTTTCCCAATATTTTACTGAAGATTTTTGCATCAATGTTCATCATGGACTGGCACTAGACAAGGATGCCCTCTCTCATCATTCCTATTCAATATAGTATTGGAAGTTCTAGCCAGAGCAATTAGACAAGAAAAAGAAATAAAGGGCATTTGATAATGAAAGAAGAAGTCAAATTGTTCCTATTTTCAGATGACATGATTCTATATTTAGAAGACCCCATCGTCTCAGCTCAAAACCTTTAAGCTGATAAGCAACTTCCACAAAGTCTCAGAATACAAAATCAATGTGAAGAAGTCCTGTACACCAATAACAGACAAACAGAGAGCCAAATCATGAGCAAACTCCCATTTACATTTGCTACAGGAGAATAAAATACCTAGGAATACGACTAACAAAGGATATAAAAGACCTTCTCAAGGAGAACTACAAACCACTGATCAAGGAAATAAGAGAGGACACAAACAGATGGAAAAACATTCCATGATCATGCTTAGGAAGAATCAATATTGTAAAAATGGCCATACTGCCCAAAGTAATTTATAGATTCAATGTTATCCCCATCAAACTACCATTGACCTTCTTCACAGAACTGGAAAAAACCACCTTACACTTCATATGAAACCAAAAAAAGAGCCTGCACAGCCAAGATAACTGTAAGCAAAAACCAAAAGAAAACAAAGCTGGAGGCATCACACTACCTGACTTCAAACTATACTACAAGTCTGCAGTAATCAAAACAGCATGGTACCAATGCCAAAACAGAGATATTGTCCGAAGGAAAAGAACAGAGGCCTTGCAAGTAATGCCACACATCTACAACCATCTGATCTTTGACAAACCAGACAAAAACAAACAATGGGGAAAGGATTCCCTGTTTAATAAATGGTGTTGGGAAAACTGGCTAGCCATGTGCAGAAAGCTGAAATGAGACCCCTTCCTTATACCTTATACAAAAATTAACTTCAGATGGATTAAAGATTTAAACATAAGAACTAATACCACATAAACCCTAGAAGAAAACCTAGGCAACACTATTTAGGACATAGGCATAGGCAAGGACTCCATGGCTAAAACACCAAAAGTAATGGCAACAAGAGCCAAAATAGACAAATGGCACCTAATTAAACTTAAGAGCTTCTGCGGCAAAAGATACAATCATTAGAGTGAACCAGCAACCAAAAGAATGGGAAAAAATGTTTGCAATCTACCCATCTGACAAAGGGCTAATATCCAGAATCTACAAAGAACTACATATTTACAAGAAAAAAATCAATTGAAAAGTGGGTGAAGGGTATGAACAGACACTTTTCCAAAGAAGACATTTATATGGCTAAGAAACATAAAAAAATGCTCATCATCATTGGTCATTAGAGAAATGCAAATCAAAACCACATTGAGATACCATCTCACGCCAGTTAGAATGGTGATCAACAAAAAATCTGGAGACAACAGATACTGGAGACGTTGTGGAGAAAAAGGAACTCTTTTACACTGTTGATGGGAGTGTGAATTAGTTCAACCATTATGGAAGACAGTGTGGTAATTCCTCAAGGATCTAGAAATAGAAATTCCATTTGATCCAGCAATCCCATTACTGGGTATATACCTAAATGATTATAAATTGTCCTATTATAAAGACACATGCACACATCTGTTCATTGAGGTGCTGTTTACAATAGCAGAGACCTGGAACCAATCCACATGCCCATCAATGATAGAATGGACAAAGAAAATGTGGCACATACATGTACTATGGAATACTATGCAGCCACAAAAAATGACAAATTCATGTCCTTTGTAGAGACCTGGATGAATCTAGAAACCATCATTCTCAGCAATCTGACATAAGAACTGAAAACCAAACACTGCATGTTTTTACTCAGAGGCAGGTGAGGAACAATGAGAACACCTGGACACAGGGAAGGGAACAACACTCACTGAGGTAGGTGTGGGGGTGAAGGGGAGTGGAGGGGAGGGTCAATAGGGGAAGGATAACCAGGAGAAATGCCTAATGTGGGTGACAGGTGGTGGGGGAGATAGAGATAGCAAACCACCATGGCATGTATGTACCTATGCAACAATGCTGCAGGATGCAGGATATGCACAGGTACCCCAGAGCCCAAAGTACAGTTAAAAAAAAAAAGAAAAGAAAAGAAAAAAAAATCATCATATAAGCAGTTACGTTATTTGTCCTCCTATCTCTGTAGGTTGCAAGTGAAACCCAGAAGAAAAGTAAAAACAAATTGGAGTTAGGTAATTTTGATCATTATTACTAAATTATTTTTATCTGTGAATTTAATGCTAATCCTTTGTAAAAATGATTAAAGGAATTTCAAGAAAGCTATTTTATAATTCAGCATGGAAAGATACATGACGGAAAACTGAAAACATTTTCTTTCTTTAATTAGGGCCAAAGGGTAGTAAAGAATCTTTTGGAGACACGGGGTTGGGAGTGGTTAACTCACTTGGCAGCAGCCTAGATTATTGACAGCACAGTTTATAACTTTATTTCCCAAAGGAAATGAAAGATATAGGCCTAAAAGGGAACAGAATGACTAAGGGCCTCTTTTTCTTACTTTACTTTACTTTTTTCAATCACAGGTTTTGGGTTTCTTTCCTCTTCTTCTCCTTTTTTTTTTTTTTTTTTTAGAATTTGAGTGGTTCTCTGGTGTTCTTTTGTATTTTGGCAATTCTATACTGAAAAATGCTTACTCATGATGAAATCTTTAAGAATTCCTTCAGGATAAAGAGACTTGCTGAAGTTTATTTAATGGTAAGATTTATATTCTGTATACTGTTTACCTAATTACCAGGATGAATTATGGATATGTGGCACATCTTTTTCATGAGAAAAGGTTTAAGAACTTAACAAAGAAAGAACTATGTCTTTCTTTCCATTCTCTTTCTCTTACCCTCAAAGAACCTCATATTAAGCTAGCAATGTCCTCATAAACTTTTTCTTCTGTATTATGTTCTTCTAAAAGTTAAAAATGGCTACCATTTGTTAAGACTTGCATGATACGAATGATCTAATTAAATTACCAAAACCACTTCAGAGATCAGAGAGTTTAAATACATGGTTTGTAAAAAACAGAGCTGAGATACAAATCCAGGTTTATTTGACTCCAAGACCTGTGCTCAACCACTGCATTTATGCTTCTCTCAAACACCGTTGCACCTGCTTGAGAATTCTTTCTTACTGAGTGTAGTTTTCAAGAAGAGTTATCATTGAAGAAAACCTCAGTTGGATTGCCTCATTCCACTACCCACATTTCCATTGCCATATTGGGAATACTAATAATGAAATGTTCCAAAGTGCTTTATATTTCCTAGTTACCAGCACAGAAGGAAGGGTCATGAGAGATTTAGAACGTGGATCTTCATTCAGATTTAGAACAGGAATGCATTCCTGATAGGGAGATATCCAGGACCAGAATAGCTCATGCAAATCTTTAGATAGAGTCTTTGACAAGAAAACTGAGAAGATCATGTCTAATTTCGAAAGTTCATTCACATATAAACCAAGTGCTAATCTTTAAAACCAGCATACTCTATGATCGTACAGAGTAACAACTAAACAATCATGTAATCTGCAATTATCTACCATAAATATATTATTTATTTTAAAAAATATTTAATAAGTGCTTCCTATTGAGCCAAGGATGGAGAATGCTAAGGTGAACACAACAGATAGGAATTTACCTTTGTGGTGGCCAGTACATGAGAGAAACATGTAAATAAGCAAACAAAAGTTATGACAAGTGCTATGGAGGAGGCTGAGAGAGAATGACAGGCTGGTTGAGGTAAGGCTGAGGGCAGAAAGAAAGGAATGAGGTGGTTTGGCAAAGAGTGTCCAGAAGAGAATCATAGGCAGAGAGACTAGCAAGTGTGAGACCGTGAAGTGGCACAGAGCTTGGTGTATGCTGGGAACTGAGAACACAGTGAGGCTGAGGTTGGAGGAAGCAGGGTGAGGGGGTTAGTGCAGGAATGTGATATTAGAAGAAATGGAAGAGAATGAGAGAAGTCTGGTTATGATGTCAGCTTCAGATTTGGATTGCAAATGCAATGAAAATCCATTGGACCTTTATAAGCAAGAGGCCCTTGTGATCTGATATGTGCTGTAGAAAATATACTCAGGCTGTTGCTTTGCATAGAATGTGTTGTAAGCACATGGTTACCAGCTATTGCTCTGGGTTACATGGGAGATGAAGAGAGCTTGAACTAGGGTGGTAGAGACTGAAACAGAGGGAGGTGAACAGATTTGAGATGCATTTTGAAGTAGAAATAACAGTAACAGGACTTTCTGATACGTTGGTTATGAAAAGGAAAATGAATCAAAATCTGCACTGAGTCACTGGATAAATAACGATGGCCATTAGGAAAATAGGAAAGCCAGTGCAGCACTTTCCAATTTTTCTATGAGTTTAAATATTATTTGCTAAAATAATTATGGCTACTTATTACTGAGTAGCTAAATGAGATTATTAGACACTTTAACAGGTATTTGAAAGCTATTATATCATCTAATTGGCAGTCTTGCAGAGCAGGGTTATAATGGCCATTTTATATATGAGAAAATGGACATTCAGAAAAATTCAAGTAACCTCTCCAAGGCATCAAACTGGAAATTAGTAGAATCCAGGTCCGTGTGGCTTGGTCTTAAATTCCCCATGGGAGATTTTTTATTGCTCTATGCCTAGGTCAGTATCTGACATGTAGTATGTTCTCAACATATATTTACTACCTTAATACTTAAATACATGTAATTTCCACTATAGATCAATGTTTCTCAGAGATTCCCAAGTTTACCACCTTTTATTGACATCTTAAGTAAAGACACCATTTGAGTAGATTCACAGGGCTATCCTTTAAACTACTGCCCAGCTGGAAACCACACAGGGCTCTCTATTGCAGATGAGTTGCACTAGTTACATTCCTATTTCTGCAACTTTTGTTGAGAAAAATGTGTGGGCACACCACACTGATAGGACTTAGGAGGCATCACAGAAGGCTCAGCTAGGACTCAAGTCCTCAAAAACACTGCAGGGAGATCTAGAAAACTCATTCTCAGATGAAGGATGTCTCTGGGTGGTTTGAGTGCCCCTCACTCTGCCAACACCCTCAAGTCCAAGGTTTCTACACACTTGGGTTCTACCATGGGTTGGCTCTAGTCTCAGGGTCACAGGTTTCCTTACCCCAGGGTACAGTCTCCCAAAAAGGGCACACTTCACTGCCAAAACTTAGGCCACCTCACTAGCACCATTTAGAGTCCCCCTCTTTTCCAAGGAAATTCCCCAGCCCCACAGCTTCCCAATCATGATGTCTTGATTTCTGACACCCAGTTCATTATTGATAGAAAGTTCTATTTAATTCACAACTTGTCCAAGTATAAGCATTTTCTGCACCTTGCCTCCAGGCAGATGGCCAAAACAAACATAAGACTGTGTCTCAAGCTGATTCTTCATCACATCATAACTCTAATACTCAAAGCCCATGATATTCATGATCTCCCATAACATACGCTCTATTCCATCTTGGATTTTACCCCTCTCTCCCAACAGTATCCAAGTGTGTAATTCATCTACTACTCTTTGTCTTGCTGTAGGGGATTATGTGTCAAACTCAGATAAGTTCATTGAACACAGTTCTGGTATAAGTCTCCTGCCTGTGACAGACAGCCCCTGAGGACTTTTCATCCCTCCTTCAAGGAGATAGTACTTGGCCCCCTTCCTGCCACTCTGCTTTCCATCTCATCTATCAAGCTGGAAAAAACTTTCTGATACCATTCCTCATAATTCCTGTTCTCCTTGTGGTTTAAGTTCTGCCATCTCACCAAGGACATCAAGTATTCCACATGCACCTTCTTCACAAAGACAAATACTGTGTCACCCTTCATCTTCATCAAGAGTCGTAGCTCAGAGTAATGAACTAGATGCTCAACCACACCATTGGGATTGGACCACTGGCAATAGTACTAAGACTTATTTTTGTAGCTAACAGTATCAGAGAGAAATATGATTTAAAAGCATACTTAGATATGAATACCCAGAATATGACAGCTTGCACCACTACCAATGGGGCATGAAACCCATGCCTCACCTTGGCCTGGTTAATAAAGAAGCTTAAGCAAAGAACAGAGTCAGGTTTTTTAGAGGACTGTTTCCTTCACCCTGGAAGGCATAAGGCCATACACAGATTGGAACTCCTGACTTTCAAAGAAATTATCCAGGATGGAACTATCGCGTCATTATTGACTTTCTCTCCTCCACTCCACCAGCCCCTCCGCTTTTCTCCTAATTGAGACTAGCTTGCTTGAGTCCAGAAATAACCCCACAGCCTTTCATGTATGTCTTTGTTGGCTTCGTCATCTGCTGGCATCTCATACTGTGCTAACGTATTGTTTGACTTTTACCACAGTCCCTGATTTTATTTCCCAGGTTAAGTCTGACATCCTGTCCAGGTTTCTTCACCCTATAACCACTGTTCTTGCAATTGCTAATCTGATCTCAGCATGCCCATGAGCCATGATGTCACCAAGATAAAATATCTCAAGCTCTTAGAGTAGAAACAAACTGTAGTTCAAAGTCTTTCTTTTATATTTAACTGAAGATAAAACTGTAGAGATTAAGTGATTTACCCAACATCACAAAGTTAATTAATGATGAGAACACAGGCCTTCTGACCTGTAGAACAAATGACCTTCATACACCAACCATGCCATCCCATTCTTAGAAATCATATTCAGCAAGGGACGGAAACCCAAGGAGGGTGTTTCACAACAATTCGAGTTTGGGAACAAATGACTCATCTTGAAGGTTAGGTTCTGTTCTGAGAAACTACACAAGCATTGAAAAGGGATGTTAACAGCTAAAGTTTACAGAGAAATACATCCAGGTACTTTCGTCTTTATAAGCTTCTGAAAAGTTTGCCAAACTAAATCTCAATGGGATTAAAAAGGTGATTCTTTTCTTTAGAGCCAATTTAACAGTATATGAATAAATTTTTATATTTTCTTAGTAATCGTGTATGGATAATATATAAAACATAGTTAATGTACTTGAAAAAGTAATTTTTTCAAACCAAGTTTAATGTCTTAACCTTAAAGGTGGAGGAGATCTCTTGCTGTGCAAAGGATCTTCTAAAAGTTAAATGGTTGACAATAACTTCCAAAGGTGAAGTTCAAGCTCAGGGTCAAATATCGATGGCCACAAAGTTCTTCCCCTTCCCAAGCACTTTTTTTCCTGTACAAATCATCACTAAACGATCAGGAGTAGCCTGGGAATCATTATGTGCATTTTCATATTTTTTAAACATAGCAAAGTCTAAATTCCATATATTCATAAATCAAGTCCACGAAGAAGAGAAAACAAGACTATTTCCAAATGTCATTGTTTTCTACTTTACTTGCATTAGGTCCATTTTTGGTGCTTTCCAAGTCAAATTTTTCTATAGCATTTTGAGTTTCCCCGATAAATTGCATTGCTGTTTCAGTGTCTGTACTTAAAATGTGCGCCTAATATGTGACTGTTATGTAAGAAGTACATAAAGTTTTACACTAATGTCTATTTTTTCACGGTAATTCTTACATTGTGGGTTTAAGAGCTGTCAAGTGTAGAAAAGGGAGGCTGACAGGTGTAGCTTACAAGTAAATGATCCACTTCCCCGAAATATGTAAGGCTATTCCCAAAGGGATTAGCTTGGGCCAGCCTGGCCTTAGCAAATACTTTTCCTTCATGATACTCTATAACATTTCTGCATTAAAAAGCCCTTTCTTACGAAACTGTTAATAACAGACTTTAACAATAAGTTTTTGAAAAAAAAATCTATAGTTTGGATTCTGCTTTGTGCTGTGCATGCTGGTAACTGAATCCTTCTTACCAGGACAGCTGAAGGATGGCAAATTGTCAGTTCAGAGTCATCTGCTAAGTCATTAGTAGGGGCACTGCCAGCCAGCATCACCAGTTATATCACATTCCAGGGAACAAATGTTTTTGACAGCCAGATGAAACCTGAAAACTCAGGACACTAGAAGTAGTCTGCCCTAACTTCCTGCTATTCATTGCAGTACTTCCTTATACCAAGTCCAGAATTTCTGTATCATCTTGACCTCATAATTCTTATAATTTTATGTGGCCTCAGCATCCATTTTGTTTGGCTATTTAACTTAGATGATAAGTTCTCCTTTTTGTTTCTCTGGTGAGACGAGGTAGCTCTCAACCCGAACCCACACACTCAGCCTTTGGCTTAGGTATATTTCTAGACAACATTTCTTTGCCAGAAAGGGTTTTTAATACTGGCTTGCTTCGAATTTTGTGCCTGCTTGCTTTAAATTACCCAATTGCTCCCCTCGTCCTATGACACTTCAGTTTCTCACCCTGGCCTTCAATAAATACAAGTGCCCCAGTCCACATTCCCCCTTTCCACACTCCCTGATCTCCTTGTGCAGTCTCCAGGCATGCCATGTACTGCCCCCAGTCAGGACCTGTAAGTAACAAAATCTTTATTTCCATCTTCTGTTTCTCCTAATCATTGAAGGGATGCTCTTCATCTTAAAGATTTTAAATTAATACATGACATAACATGTCTTCACAGCTTTATAGAAAGTTTTTGACTGAAAGTTTTCTTAGATGAATGGTTTTTTCATTAATAGATAGTATTTGTGTGCTTATACCACAGATGTATGACAATTGTACTATTACCAGGGGGCCCAGGCATCCTGGTTTTCCCAGAATAGATTCAGTTTAACATCTATTGTCCTGAGACAATTGTTAAGATCTACCCCCTTTCATTCATACCAGACTGAAAAATCCAGTACAAATAACTAGTAATGTGGAATCTTTCCATCAAGCATTGGTCAGACAAATAATTTGATCACTGAAAGTATTTTTCTTTCACTAAATATTATTTTGATTTAGGTCTTTTTCCAAATGGGTTAGTTACAGCTGTTTTCTTCGGAGCTTCTTTTCTGTATTCTATATTATTGTTCCCAACTTCGGGGATACTCAATGAACCCTACATAATTCTGTTATCACCTTAAATTGTTCTTAATCAAGTGAAAAATAATTAAAGTTTGGTATTCAACTTAGAGCTGGCCATCATTCAAATTATCTCAGCCTGGAAATACATTTGAATGGAACATAAGTCTGACAACTAAAAATAATTAAGGAACATTTACATCTTTGCAGTTTACAAAAATGCAACATTTATAGCTTTTATTACATATAGTGCAACATCTTTTCCCACCCTTTCTCAGTACTTTTTCTCCAGATATTCAATCAGGAAAAGATTATTCTTAAAGGTTTTTTATCTCAACCTAATACACAGTACCAAAAATTAGAGTAATTTCAACCCCTGTGGATTGCCAAAAGAGAATACAACTGTAATCAGGAATTTGTCATTGAAGAGGTTATCGAATGACTTTGATAAAACAAATATGAATTGCATCTGCATTAAGTATAAAGAGAGAACAAGAATGAAAAACCAGCACTGTTTTTTTAATGGGACCTAAAGAATAATCCAAAGGAATCACTTAGAATAACATGCTATCAAGAGGTGAGAAAAGGAAAGGGACTACCATGAAATTAATCCCTTACAAAAGAATAGAATAGAGGAAAACAGATACTTGAAAATAAATGCAGGAAGAAGGTATTCCCCTCTATGTGACCCACTCTTGAACACTTTAGAAAGAGTCCTCATTTACCCAGGCAATGACCATTTATTCAACTCTCCATGAGGCTGTAAGATTGCAAGAGGCAGCGGAATCACTAGCACATCTGTACAAATAATGCTAGAAATTTGTACAAAGCTAAACAAAACTAGTTCCCCCAACTCTGAGGTCTGAAAAAATATTTCTTACTATACTTTTCAAAATCCAGAAGGTCCTGTTGATTCATAGCAAGACAAATGTGGGAAGACCTCTTTCTGTTCCATCTGAATGACATTCTTAAAGCATTTTTCTTTTCTTGAGAAAGCAGGCTTTGCTCTGAAGAAAGGTTGGGGTGACAGGCACACTTCGTTTCAAGCAAATTCTATGATAGATGCATGAGTGAACTCACAATATCTCAGAAAGGACCTTTCCCTTTTAAAAGGTCACTGCACAAAACACAATAAAACTATCTCCTATAGCATGCTTTTTTTCCAAATGACATACCTCAAAAGTGCATGAACTGAGGAGAACTTTTGTGCTCCACACTTGGCTAAGGGAGTTTTAGAATTTTGCATTATCTTGGGTACTTGTATGTCTGTCCTGCAATATTATTTTCTAGGAAATCTACTGTGTCCTCTGTTACCTCCTCCTGTTTATGGTTTGGTTAAGTTTTATTTTTATAATTTATCCCTGTGATTTACATTTTAATATAACACAACAAAGAATGTAGTTCATGTTTCTCAATAAGTGATAAAGGCATTTTCTATATCTTCTTCTACTTTCAAGAGTCTTCTAAAAGTTCACCTGGCCAACAGCTTCCTATTGTGCCTCCTTCCTTCATTAGCCTTGCTGTGGGCATTCACCAAAATCGAAACACTGAAATATGACTTTCCTAGTTGTGACAAGAGAAAAAATGTACATCAGGAGACAGCAGAGGACTGGGAACCTGTCTGCTGTGATTCATGGTCTTCTACAATGCTCATTTTAAAACATCACCAGTGAAAGGGCAGAGGGCATACAACACTGTACACGACAAACTAGTGTATGTGTTTTTACAGACCACAAGAGGAAGGCGGGAAAGCCTGGAATTGTCTGGCATTGTTGTAGCATCTTGGGAAAAACTGTATACCTATCAAATCGGTAAAGAAAGCTCAGAAGAAAATGTCATCACAAAATGATACACTGAGGAATAGTTGTATGAGGGAAGATAAATTCCAGGGACCAAATATTTGTTGCATACTCAGGAATAATGCAATATTAGAGGTGAGTACAATAATAATTGACTATTGGTCTGGTGCTTTAAAGGGGGTACTTTAAAACTTAAAAATTAAGAATATGTTGTCCAGGAATTCAGAATCCCATTCATTGACTACAGATTCAGTGATGTTCTAGGTAAGTAATTATTAAGAATCAGAAAAGTTTTTTGCCTTCACTCCTTTGAGAGATTCTGCTAAGTATTTTTATGTCAAATATTTACACAAAATTAAATTATATATAAATGAATTATTTTGACAACATAAGTGTAGTATAAAACAAGTTAGCAGAACACAAATGAAGTAAATCATGACCAAGAAAGAGGGTGCTGTTTTGGGATGACAGTGAAGGTGGATGATGGGAAGGAAGTTCATGACACTGGTCTCTGAAAGTAAAAAAATCTTAAAACTTAGCATACTTCTTGACTCAGTTTTAACTTATTTACATGGTCATAATTGTGTTTACTGTTCTATTTTAAGATTTAACAGGCAGAATAGCTGCAGTCTAAAATATGCTATACAGTGACTACAAAATTGGCAGGAGACCCTGAAGAAATAAAAAGAAAACAAAAACTTCAGGGAGTCCAAGGGTAGAAATAAAAGCTATGACTGAAAACAAAACCCAGTGTAAGCTCCATACATAAAACAGCTACTATGCTGTTCTGTGCCATCCATCATCTCCATTCTAGATGTCAGGAAACAAACAACATGAATAATTCCAAGCAAATAATCATCATCATCTGAAAAAAATAGTAACTATGCAACCCCCCAAACCAAAAACCAAAACAAAGCAAAACAAAAATTATTGTTTGTTATCTAAAAAACTGAACTACCTCCCAGGAGAAAACAAGGCTTTAGTTAGATGCTGGCATCTGGGAATAGCAATTTTCACATTCTCTTATGGTGGAGGCTCATTGATGCCAAATTTCACCTCTTTAATATATCTGATCACCTGCCCCTTCTGCTTTCCTCTATTCCCACAGTTCTCACTCAGGATAAAGGCTTTAAGTATAAATAGTTCATTAGATCAAAAGAAAACCAAAGCAGTCTGACATTTTTCTGCTTAAATACAAATAGACAATTGAGCATAACAAATATATTACGAGATCCAGAAATATTATGGAGAAAGACTAAGATGGACAAGATGAAAACAAATATAGTGCAAGAAAAAAAAGAAAGGAAGGAAGAAAATAGAAACTCTGATAAACTTACACAAATTGGAGAAACTATTACAAAAAAATAAAAATGTAAGGTAAGGACAGTTAAAATAGAGAGCAAAAAAGACTTCCTAGAAACCAAAAACATAGTTGTTGGAATAAATAAACAGAACAGTAGAAGTACTAAAACACAGCAAAGGAACTCTTGCTAATTAGACCAAAGTATAAAGACAGAAATCATGAGAAAGGATAAATCTGGAAGATCTAACATCCAGGTTTTGAAAGTTAGAGAAAGAGAAGAGAGAAATGAAGGAGAGGAAAAATTAAAGAAAAGACGGAAATAAAATTTCCCTTAGCTCAAAGGAAGACTTTAATTTATAGACCAAGAAGTTTTACTGAGTGCACATTGTAATAAGTGCAAAAGGGGTTCTCATCTATGTCATTGAAGACATGTAAATACCTAAAATAATGAGATGCTCCTAAAAGTTTTAATTTTTAAGTTTTCCCTCCTAAAAGGGAAACAGGAAGAGTAAGACTAGTAGTTTATTTCTCATTAATAACAATGGAGTGGTGCTTTCAAATTTTGAAAGGAAAACTCTTTCAACCTAGAATTTTATAGTTGGCTAAAGGGTCACACAAATATGAGAGTATGTAAGAAACAGAACATTTACCTCCTGTTTGCGTTCTCTTAGGAAGTTACTTTATGGTGTATTATAATAAAACCAAAGGATAATTCAAAAAATAGGAAGCTATCAAAACATCAGATCTAACCAAGAAGTTCAATAACACCAGTAACACCAAACTTAGGAGATTAGCAATAAAGCAGGATGTCTTGGAGCTGTAAGTCCAGTATGAAGCAGGGAAAAATAGGACTCTCGAAGGGAGTCCTATTTGAAGTAGGGGAAACTAGACCAAATAGACTAGATAATATGAGAGAGAGTTTAAAAAAAAATGATGATATGATGAAGGAAAACAATACATAAAATAAACACAGCTTAATTTTAAGCAATTGACTAAATATAAGGAAATAATCATTTATTTGAACTCAAATGCTAGGAATTCTTTTCAGTGAGTTATGGGTCATGACACCAATCTCTTAAAAAACATAATCCTAACATACTTTTTACCTAACATTAAATGATATTTATGTGGCCATTAATAATATTAATACTGTTTATTGCTCCATTTTTAAAGTTAACCTTTGGGAAAAGACCATTGTATTTTTTGCAGAAAGTGCAAATATCAACAATCTAAACACAGAAAGAGTGATCAACAGAAGCAGGGCCTGAAACGAGTGAGAAAAAGTTGGGGAAACTGTATGAGACCAAGAACTTCATTTCATCTCATGGGGAATAAAGAGATATTGTTGCAAGACATCAGAATAAGAAAATGGTATTAAGTGTTTTACTTACAGCTTGCAGCTATGTTACAGTTACATGAATAGAAGGAGAAGATTAATAGAAGGAGAGTCAAGTATAAATGAGCAAAATCTCCATCTTCCCAATTGCAGAATGAATTACCTAACTCTGATTGATTCAGAAATTGAGTGCCCTACCAGAATGCCTAACATAGCCAGTAAAAAATTTAAAAATTAAAAAGAATTAAAAAGATTTCTCTAGTGAAAGAGAATGGCATTGAGGAGAACAGAGCAAGAGACTTATACATTTCATCAGCAGTATTTTGATACGGCTTCGTGTGAGCAATGATGTAATACTTTGATAAGTAAATATGTATTTGTGTGTATAATAATAGTAATCATAAAGTGCTTTTTGTGTGCAATGCGTGCATTGTGCTAGGTACCAGTATAATGTCAGGTTCTTATTTATTATATAGGCTATGTATAACTTTTATATAGAGGGCTTCATAAATAGCCTTTAAATACAGCCATGCCCCTTGACTTACAAGTTTCAGTTCCTGAAGATTTTCTTCTTCCTTCCCTATAAAATTTGATGATTAGCAATTAAATAAACAAGTTTAATTATGTTCCTTCACCGTGTCCTTTTTAAAAAAAATTAAATTGATACATAATAGTTGTACATATTTTTGAGCTACATATGGTGATTTAATACATTTGTACAATTTGTAAAGATCAAATCAGTGTCATTGGAATACGTATCACCTTAAATGCTTGTCTTTTGTTTATGCTAGAAACATTCAATCTATTCTCTTTTAGTTATTTTGAAATAGAAAGATTTTTGTACACAACAGTCACCCTATTGGTCTATTAAACACACTTTTCTAAATTGCAAAAACACTAGAAAGGTATAAATACAGGGAACCTGAGGGCAAGGTGTCATTCACTAATAGAAGGACAAAGCCCAGGAGGACAAGGTCAGGAACCATAAAGATATTTTTCTCACTTCACTATTTCAATAAGGCCCTTTATCTTCATAGGCTTTCAGTTTTGGAACCCAGTAAGTACTTCGCTTATACTTATACAGGAAAAGTGAAAAGTTCAAAAAGACTGAACTGATCCTTAACCCAGTGACCTAGAAGACAGGGTATGTTTATCAAACCAGTCTGTTGAAGTTGAAAGTTTACAAAACATCGGCAGCGGGGAACAGGAGTGGTAAAAACCTCTGAACATGAAACATTTCACTCAGTTCTCTTGATGTATCTTGTTTTGAAAAATTCACACCCAATGGCCCATATTAATGAGGTGACAATTAAATCACAAGCCATGTCAGAAGCTGAAGAATGACTTTAGGACAAATGTTTATCGTTCCAGGCCATGTGCAAACCTTTGAACCTTTGTGAAGTTCAAACATGCAGAACTCAATGCAATGCACCAGGCCTTTTGCCAATGTAGGACTCAATACAAAATAAATAAATGGGAAAAGAAAAGCAGTAACTGATCAAGTACAATATTGTTATACAGTTGTATAATTCCATAATTCCAGATTATCTTAGGATTTAAATATAAACATATTATGTCTATAAAGGGATCTATTAACATAAATTAGAAGTGCTTGTCATATCAGTTTAGAAAAAGAAACTGATCAATTCTCATCAAAGGTCAAAGATACAGTGCAATTATTCTACTTTTTGCCATCTTTATGGTGAAGAAGCTGACGTCTTTGAAGGTGACCCAGAAACTATTGGGAGATGGTGTGTCTCCAGCTGTAGGGTAGATGATAGCAAGAGATTCTGGAGCCAATTCACAAATAGATCCAGGAGATGTTAGAAGTCAGTCTACTCATTAATGCAAAAAAGTACCTGCATTCCCCAAATCATCTCTTTATCAACTTTACTATCGCTTTGCCATCTCCAAAAGAGGAGAATCAAGATTTTAGATTATTTTTGTTGTTGTTACTGCTTTTCATACTTTTCCAAGGCAAGCCATATTTTCACTTCAATTTGCATTAAACACTAGGGGCAGAAAACACTATTATTTCCCCTTGGGTCTCATAGTCTTGGCATTTTTGCCACTTCAGGAAATGCAGTGAAGAAATAGAGGTATTTTCAGTGCCAAGGACTGCAATGAGTTGATTTGCAGGATTTAAAAATAAAATATATAATTAAATAAATGTGAGGTTAGGTCAGTAAACTATACATGTTTGATTGGTACGTTTGAACATAGCCCTGATATCAATAAAGATAATATGGAAGTAATTTTAGGGCAGCAAGTCTGAAATATGATTGATACTCAATGAATTAATACTATGATAGACAAAAGCCTAATGAATTGTGTCATACACATTTATTGGAGAGAGGTAGTTGGTTGAGAAAAGCAAAGAAAAAAGAAAGGCAGAAAATAAACATTATTGCACCCACATTGGTTATAGAGACTAAAGCAGTATTGTTTTCTGGGTGAGGCCAGCCTGGTAGAGGTGGGGATGTTAAAACCTTCTTAATTGGAAGACAGAACATAAGATGTATCTTCCCATTGTTTTAAAGCCGTATTCTCTAGCAACTTTCAGAAAATTTGGCATCTTGTGTCACTCATCTACAGGGAGACAATGAATTTATCGGGCTAACTAAACATTCTCATCAGACAGATGCATTTCTCATTATAAATTGATAATTTGGCATTCTGATTACAATTTGGATCCCCATGTTGCTTCTCTACCGGGAGAAGAGTCTGTGAATTGTTGTTGACTTGAGCACCATGTCCAATTTAACAGTTATATTGCTCATTGTAAATAATATCTTGGCACTCTGGTTTGTGTTTAATACAACATGTGAATGATGTTAACATGAACCTCATTTTGAGAAACAGATCTACTTCTACCTAGTCTGCTAGCAAAATCACAGTTCTCAGCCTGTAGTCCTGAGAATCATATCACCAAGGAAAACACCACAAAGGGGGCTCTATCTGGGTAGCCAGTCTCCATTCAAGTCTTCCAGCCTCTGAATATACCGTTGAGATAAAAAACATAAGAAAGACATCTTATTTAAAAGCGGTGAGTAAGAATACAGCTATTGAAAGCAAAAAAAAAAAAAAAAATAGTGTCAAAATATGTAGTATGTCTTCCTGTAGGCTTTGTGACAAGGGAGGAGGGAGAGAAGAGAAAAAAATGAACTCAGATTATGTAATTTGCCAAATGTCATTATAGTAACTTTAGAGTCTATATTTGTCTTCTGAGAAATGCTTTGCCTTACTGTAATCTCTAAAACAGCAGTCAGATTTTCAATGGAATTACATTTGAATAAATAGTGAGGAAGAGAACTTATTTAGTCAAGGCCCTTAAGCATATGATAAATTTATTATACTAATTCCCAGAAGGAAATGACTTAATTCTCAAGGAAAATGATCAATGTCAGTCAGAAAATTCTTACAACTGGCACATTAAATAGATATTGAAATGTATTATATAGAAAGATATATTTTTATCCTTAGAGCTCAAATGTTACACACAAAAAGTCACCTAAAACTATCACATTATATCTTTATCCTAAAATGTTTGAGGAGGAATAATAACATTCAGCTAATACAAAACTTGCAGCTTCTCTCTGTAATTCCAGCACTTTGGGAGGCCGAGGCAGGTGGATCACCTGAGGTCAGGAGTTCGAGACAAGCCTGGCCAACATACTGAAACCCTATCTCTACTAAAAATGCAAAAAAAAAAAAAAAATTGTCAGGGATGGTGGCACATATCTGTAGTCAAAGCTACTCAGGAGGTTGAGGCAGAAGAATTGCTTGAACCCAGGAGGTAGAGGTTGCAGTGAGCAAAGATCATGCCACTGCACTCCAGCCTGGGTGACAGAGTGAGGCTCCACCTCAAAAAAGAAAAACGAAATAAATAAATCTGCTTTTCAAGGGAAATACTTGCTTTTGAGGCAGTAAACACCTAAGTTTAAGTTTAACTGAGGCAGAGATTATGCTGAAGAGACAGAGAAGCCTCTGGGGAGGTGATACTAATTCCTTCATATGTCATAGTGCTTCTAATTACTTTTTGCTTTCATTACCCAGTTAATTACTACAGTGTAGAACTGATCTGTAAGACAGTAATAGCCCTAACACCATAACCAGCAGATAAATCAGAGAATAGAAAGGAACTTCAAAAACTTGCTCAAATTTTTCTTGGTTTTGCACACAACTTCCAAACATCATAATCTAAATGCTTTAATAATATGATTAAACATATGATTAACACAGATATTTGGGTAGCTTGGAACTTCAAACTTCTGTTGGTGACTGCAGGCCACACTTGTTTCCCTCTTGACTAATTCTTACTGCATTTATTGTCACATGCAGTTGACTCTTTACTCAATAAGCATTCATTCATTCAAAGTGCTAACTGAACGTTTTAGCCAACACCCTTGGGGATACAAAGATACAGATATTGGCCACTGTCCTCAAAAACTCACAGTCACATGATATTCTCTAATTACCACCACTGCACAGCATAATATTATCTTCGCCTGCTGGACAGAGAGATATGCAATGAGATTTCCCCTTGCATTTATTCATCATTTCCATGTCTGTATTGGGAATTCCTGCATATACCACAGCATACAATGTAGTGGTAGGCAAAAAGGAAGTTCTCTAACAGTACTTTGTGTCTGATTAAGGGATAAAATGCCATCTTCAATTGAAACTGTAGGAATGTACAGCTAACAATGTCATATTTAGGCTACTACATTACTCCACTTTTTAACTGTCTATACTGGTGTTTTTATTCATTAATTTTTGATAATGAGCCAATAATACTTTTGTAACAAGGAAAATATAACCAATGAAAGTTAATAAGAAAGAACTGCTGAATGTTTCAAATATGTTTGTGCTGTCTCACAAACAGCACAGATACGTAGTAACAATTATAGCATTTAAAGAACATTTAGCTCAATGTGGGGGGGAAAAGTTCCTGGTTTGCTGGAGAAGAGAGATTCTGCTCACCAGGACTCCTCATCATTCTTTTTGTTCATGTATCCAACCTATTAGAAACTGTTATAACAACAGAGATGCAGTAAAAAGCCCTTTGCAATTCACCTTTAATCCTTGACCCTTGTTATATCTGTCACTTTTAATACATGTGTTCTCTCCATGGTATTAACTGACATGTTTGATAACTAAACACATCATGTCAGAGGCCACCCAGTAGCTTTCATGATGAAAAAAGGTTTGATCCCAAAAACAAAACCCCCTCATCCTAGTTGTTAAGCCCATTTCTAGTGCTGCAAATTATTCCACAAAGCTGAGCAGAAGAGTGACCGAAAGCATAAGGCTCAATCAAGACCTCCTGGGGGCTCTTCTTTTTAATTTTAACCTCAATCCATGGCTACTCATGAAAATATTATTCTATTCATTTTCTCATTCATTCAACACATGCTTGTAAAGCATGTATCTGCCTGGTATTCTGCTAAGCCCTGAGGACTCATGGCAAGTAATGAAATGGACACTGCCCTCACACACCTTTTTCTCAAATATGTATACTTAGCAGCCAGACAGCATCATTTCTAGAGTCAATTCAGTCAGCCAGGCAATTCATGTCCCCTGGCAGTTAAGGGGTCTCTAAAATAGATCTGCATCTATCAGTTCTTCCATCAGCATTTCTGCCACTGTTTGCATCATTCATTCCTATTCTCACATAACTTAGCCAATGAATGTTTCTCTACTTTCAAGGAAGTTCATTCTGTGTTTGCTACCAAGGTTTTCTGTTTGTGGTGGTAGAAGACACAGTATAGCTAACCACATTGGCTAGACCTAATGTTGAGCTCCACAGTGCAACAGAAGCAGTAATCTTACCTTATTCACATCCAACATAAACATGCAGAAAGAACCCTGGTTCTCCTCAGTTTCAGAGTGTCTATAATGGGCATGTCATCCATAGAACTATGAGAGAATATAAATATTAAAAATTATGGCAAAGTGACTGTAATTTAGGATTTTTCCTTTTTGCGCTAACCTATTACAGTAACACTCTGCTGCACATAAAAACGAGGTAAACTGTGTCCTGTTTCTTTCACATTTCTACATGAGACGAAACTTGATTTTGTTTGTCCACTCAAAATTTGATTTCTAGACCCTACAGCTTGATAAAATATAGACCCTTAGATCTATAAATAAGGAGAATAATTTCTAAACTGCTTTTTTTTTTTTAGATTTGAAAATGCAGAGGCAGGAGGATTGCTTGAGGCCCGGAGTATGAGACTAGTCTGTCAGCACAGTGAGACCCTGTCTCTATAGAAAAATACAAATAAAAAATTAGCAGGCATGGTGGTCCATGCCTGCAGTCCCAGCTACTCAGTAGGCTGAGGTGGGAGGATCATTTGAGCTGAAGAGTTTGAGGCCAAAGTGAGCTATGATCATACCACTGGACTCCAGCCTGGATGACAGAGCAAGATCTTGTCTCAAGAAAAAGAAAGGAAAGAAAATGTAAAGAACTTGAAATAGTTGTATAGCACAAAGCAAACGAAATGCCCAACCATATGACTATTACAGAGATGGAAGCTTAATACCCCTCTTGGGATTCTCTCCTGTGTCCCAGACCTATTTGTATCTTACTACTGACTCTGCTTTCTACCTGTATATCCCATGGAAACCCCAACTCAACATTTCAAAGCCATTTGCATTCTCTTGATAATAACTGCTATTCCTCCTACTCGTCATGTTGCCTTAACTCCCTGAGATGCCAGAAATCAGGGTACCATGCTAAGCCTTCCAAGTTCAGTAAATTCTGCTCTTTTAATGTCTCAACAAACACTTCTCCACCTCCCTGCTGCAAATATGAACATATCGCTCTTTAACTTAAAATACTATGTTGTAAGGTTGAAGTCAAAACTATGTAGTATGCCAAAAACCAGCTCACATGTGCTGGTCCTTGGTTTGAATCCCCCTGCTGTCCAACAACTCTCTCATCATTCCTCCTCTCACACCTTGTCATCCAGGAATATGTGATTTGTTGTTGTTGCTGCAGTTTCTGAATACTGCAATCTGTCTCCTGGAGGCTTTCATGGATGCATTTCTCTTTGCCCTTCACCTGGCTGAGGTTGATGGCATGCCATAATTATGCTCAGATGTAATTCTCTGAGGAAACTTCCTTACCCTTTCTTCCCCACAGCTAGCAAACTGTTGGAGCTGGACATTCCTCCTCTGAGCTCCCACGTTTACATATCCTGTCTTTATCAGTGTCACAGCATCTAACACATAGAAATGACACATAATCAAAGCAGTGGACATCTCAAATACCCTGAGTTGATCATTACACATTCTATGCATGTAACAAAATCTCACATGTGCTCCATAAATATGCTTCCTTAGCTGTCTCCTAACATAAAACTGTCAGCCCTGCCAAGTAGGGTCCTTGGATTCCAAGTGCATGCACTGGAACTAGGATTGAGTCTAGCAGAGGCTGTTATATATCATTGGTAGTCAATACATATTTTAAATACATAAACAAATGAAGCATTCTTTGATATTCATTTTAGAAAATGTACACATTCATTAAAGAAAAAAATTGATAAACAAATGTTTGGGCAAAACACAATGGCATCTCCTGCTCCTACAGGCATCTTGAGTAAGTCATGAGGTTTCTTTGAATTTTATGATGGAGAACATGGAAGGATTCCATGGTCTACATTATATTAAACTCTCTACCTACGTAGAAATCTACTTCACTCCCTCATCTCTCCCCTTTGGCGTTTTCACTTTCTAATCTGTAATATTTTCTCTACATTGCAAATCATGTCTTTATGTTATACATCATACTTATTCATAGTCATACTTTCTATTTTCCCACAAGCTTAAATCGTTCTCCATGATGGCTATCTTAGTCTCTGTCTGGAGCATCAACTTTCAGCTTCACTGCTCATTGCTCTATTCCCTTCCTACAAAATTCCCCAAAGATAATCTCTTATCTTTTCAAACAAGGCCATGCTGAAGGTGCCTGAACAGCTTACAAATGACTGGCCACCACAGCCTCAGCCTTGGGCATGGAGGAGAATGAAGGTGAGCTGAGGTCATGTGGTCTGTACAGCTTTCTTCTTATCAGAGAGAACACCATGTATGGTGGGGTATGTGTGGAGGGGGTATTTACAAGAAGCTGTGTGTGGAGGGGTGGAAACGGGAAGGTGGCAGCCATTTTTAGTACACTTGCGAAAGACTTTCTAACCACTTTGGATCGCATGTTGGGTCAACAAACACTATCTTCTATGATTAAAAAAGCACTAGTTGTCAATTTTCTATACTGAAAAGAATTCCCTGGAATTTCAGAAGTGAAAGAACACCACGTTCAGTGGAGGCTCCCAAGGAGCAATAAAATAATAACTCATTGAAGGTGTGACCTCCTAGAAGCCAGATGATGTTGCCTTCCAGCTGCTTCCTAACCTATTTATTGGCAGAAAAGAGAAAGTATACTTGTTTGTTTACTTGCTAAAAACAGATACCAACTGACCTAATGTCTTTTAAAATTTTCCTTCAATATTTCTTTCCTTGCTGCCGTTATGACTTTACTATATACTTTGCTACAAACTAACTACTTTATACAAATTATCTTATTTTTTGTTACCACATGACACGATATTATCTCAGCTTTCAGGATAAGGAGGTTGTTCATAATCTATATTCCTAACCAAATGCAAGCTCTTTCTTCCTATATTTCTATGAAGGATATATTCTCTAGGAAGAATGTAATAGAATCATCTTACTCATATTAGGATAAGTAAATTTTAGATCCCAACCCACCTCTGCCTGATATAAGTATTTGTAGCACTGAGAAGGCTCAGAGCTCATCAGGAGAGTTGCAGATACAGGTCAGTCTGATTGGAGGGTCTGCAATGACAATTTCAGAAATTCTTTTCTTCAGGCCATGACCTACATTGAAAATCATAATCTTCCCTTTCATTAGCAAAGGCTTCTAGAATTCAGAACCATCATTCGGAATCTTGCTCTTAAATTTGTTTCCTCTGACATTCTATACACACCCAATTTCCTTTTAAAGAAAATATCATTGTATTTTCTACTCTACAAGTATCTGGAATATACCAATTATAAATATTTGCTATTAGACATCATTTCATGCAGTCAAAATTAAGCTTCAGGGTTTTTTGTAATAGTAATGGAAAGAAGATAATTTTTCTCAATCTTCTGTTTAAAACTGATTAAATCTGTGACACCTTATTAAATATTAGCCAGAAGCTCAATAAAAAATAAAGAAAACAACAAGCGTTTCTGGGGTTTTCCATCTGCTTTCACCAGGGCTTTCAATTCTCACTGAAAGGACAGAAATCTTACACTCATATGATGACTCTGATCGTAAGTGGATGGACTATACTTAGTATACGTCACAAATTTTTCATAAGCTCTGAATGTTAATGCTTAGGGAAAGATTAAATACAAGCAATGCCTCATACCAAGCTCTGCAGAGTCACATGAATAATCCATTTCTCAGGGTTTCCTTAGCTTTGGAGAGGCTTTTATAGCATCAAAGCTGAGCAAATATTTTGCAAATGAATCTGGCTTTAACTGATCCAGCGTTAAATTCAGATCATTAGTGAAGGAGAAGCTCCCTCTCATCTGAAGAGAAGACGCTTTGCAGTCTTCAAGTTCTTTAAATATTGACCTGGAAAAGAGCATCCTGAAAAAAGTATGCCAGAATCTGCAATAGAGCCACAGAATGCTCTCTTTGAAACTTTCCACTAGGTCTCCCTTAAATCATCCCAAATGATTAAAAATCTATCCTATGGGAGAACATATTTATAAACTATACATTTGATAAGGGGTTCATATCCAAAATAAATAAGGAACTCAAACAACTCAATAGCAACAAAACAATCCAACTAAAAAATGGGCAAAAAATGTAAATAAATATTTCTCAAAAAAAGACATACAAACGGCCATTGGGTATATGAAAAATGCACAATATCATTAATCATTTGATAAATGCAAATTAAAACCACAATATCACATTACACCTATTAGAATGGCTTTTTATCAAAAAGACAAAAGATTATAAGTGTTGGCGAAGATGTGGAGGAGAGGAAACTCTTGCGTGCTGCTGGTGGGAATGGAAATTAGTGTAACCATTATGGAAAACAGTGTGAAGCTTCCTCGGAAAATTAAAATCAGAACTACCACATGATTCAGCAATCCCACCACCAGATACATGTATATATCTCAAAAGCAAATGAAATAAATATTTCAAAGAGACATTTTACACTTCTTTGTTTACTGCAGTGCCATTCACAATAGTGAATGATATGAAATAGTGATGATATGAAATTTACCTAAGTGTCCATCAGTTGATGAATGGAAAAAGGAAATGCTCTACATATACAAAGTTAAATACTACTCAACTGTAATAAGGAAGGAAGTCCTCTCATTTGCAATTAAGATAGATGGGTCTGGAGGACATTATGATAAGTGAATTAATCCAGGCACAGAAAGACAAATACTACATGATATCACTCATACTCAGAATCTAGAAAAACTGATCTCATAGGAGAGAACAGAATGGTGGTTTAAGGACTGAACTGGTTGGAGGTGTTAGGAAGATGTTAGTTAAAGGATATAAAATTTCAGTTAGATAGGAGGAATAAATTCAAGAGATTTACTATACAACATGGTGACTATCATTAATGATATATTGTATTCTTAAAAAACAAAAGAGTAAATGTAAAGTGTTCCTATCTGATGTAATATGTTAATTTGATAAAATTTTCATTTCATAAGGCATATATATTTGAAAACATGTTATACACAGCAAGTACATAAAATTTAATCTGTCAATTAAAAAATAAAAAGGAATCCATCCTTCTCTTAAAGAGATCTAGAGAATAACTCTGTGACCAATCCCAGCCATACATTTTAGGAAGGTGAACAAATTTCCTTGATAGGAAATTTCTCCATATAGCACACTTAATCCTTCATGGTGTAACTGATGTGTATTTCCTTTTTTTGTATCCTTAGTTAAGATGACAAATACTTACCTACCACTTATCTGAATGGTTGATATTCTCCTTTCAACCATATTTCTTCTAGGGTACATACACCAGTTGCCTTTATCTTTTCATAGGGTTATTGGAATCACGAAAAATTGTTCAGATTGTCAGTAGAATGAAATTCATCCTTGCCTACAAAAGCCTACAATTCACCCTAAAACCTCACAGATGAAAATATTCATCCCATTTTCAAGTCGTGCCTTGGGTGAATAAGGTAAAGTTTTAACTAATCACATCTGCCAGGTAACCAGCTCCAGATATGCTGCTGGTCTCAAATACTCAGCCTTGGTGAGATTGTATATTATGACTCAGATCTTTAGAGAATAAAGAAAAACTAAAGTGAGTGAGATATTGAGAATAGATTCACAACAACGGTGGGAAAATACATTGGGAAAATGAGTGTAGCCAGAGAATGGAAGCCATTCATTTCCTGCTGTAGAGTGTGAAAGATAATCTAAAGGCAATTGTCAAGCCTTGGGAAGACTTTTTTCTTCTAATTTTATTTTTTAAATTAATTCATAGTCATATAAGTTACAGTTTAATAAGTTATAGTTTTATGAATTATATCACACATATAGATATATGTAATCACCATGAGAACCATGATGTGGAACAGCTTCATCAGTTCTCCAAAAACCTCTCATGCTACCTCCTTATAGTCACACTCTTCCCCCACCCCAACCCCTGGCACTCATTGATTTGTTTCCATCATAGCTTTGCCTTGTTGAAATTCTATATCATATGGTAGGTAAACTTTTTGAGGTTGGATTCTTTAATTCTGTATAATGCCTTTGAAATTCATCCAAGTTCTTGCACACATCAATAATTCATTCCTTCTAATTGGCAACAGCTGTCAGATACCACAGTTTTTCTACTCTATTCACCTGTAGAAGGGCATTTTGATTATTGTCAATTTTTGGCAAATACAAACAAAGCTACTATAAATATTCATATATGGCTTTTTTTGTGAACATAAATTTAAAGTTTGCTAGCATAAATACTAAGTAATGGGATTTATGGGTCATATGATAAGCATTTATTTACCTTTCTGAGGAACTGCCAACCCATTTTCCAAGCAGTTTTGCCACTTTTGTATTCCCATAATCAGTGTATAAGAATTCCAGTTGCTCCACATCCTTACCAGGAGTTGTTAGTGATAGGGTCTTTCGTTTTGTTTTCTTTTCATAATTACCATTCTAGAGCTATGACATTATCATTTTAGTTGCGTTTCCCTAAGTTAAAATAATGATGTTGCACATAGTTCTGTTTGATTACCTTCTTCATATCTTCTCTAGTCTGTTCAAGACTTCTGCCCACTTTTAAATCATGTTCTTTCTATTTTTATCTGATTTTTAAGAGTTTTTAAATATATCTCGAATGCAAATCTTTTGATAAATATGAAATTTGAAAAGATTTTATTTCTGTCTATAGCTTATCTTTTCACTCTCTTACATCATCTTACAGAGCAAAAGTTTTAAATTTTTATAAAGTCCAATTTAAATTATCAAATATGTACATATACTTTCTTCTTAGATATGTCCAAACTCACTGTCTAAGTCATGAAGATTTTCATCTGAACATTTTATAATTTTGTGTTTTACATTTAGATCTATAATCCATTTTGAGCTTATTTTTGCATAATATGTGAGGATTAGGTTGAATTTCCTTTTGTATAGTAATTGTTTCCAATTGTTCCATTACCCTTTCTCCAATGAATTGCTTTTGAATTTTGTTAAAGATGAGTTGGCATATTTGATGCAGGTCTATTTATGTCCCATTGATCTATGAGAACCCACTGATCCCTTCTCTGATACCAGACTCTTTGTTACTGAAGCTTTAAATAATTCTTAAAATTGAGTATAATTAAATAATTCTTAAATAATTTAAATAATTCTTAAAATGGAGTATAATTTCTCCATTTATTTTAAGAAGTGTTTTGTCTATTCTAGTTCCTTTGCCTTTCCATATGAATTTCAGTATTAGCTTGTCTACATATACAAAATATTCTGCTGTGATTTTGACTGGAGTTGCACTTAATCTATAGACCAATTCCATAGAATTACTAGGTTTAATATGTTTAGTGTTTTAATCCATGAACATGGTACATGTCTCCATTCATTTTGTTCACCTATGATTTTTTCATTGAGGGTTTGTGGTTTTTAGCATACATATTTTGTATATGTTTTGTTAGGTTTATGTCTAAATGCTTCACATTTTGAGAGCTATTTTAAATGAAATTACTATTTAAATTGTACTTTCTAATTATTTATTGCTACTATACATAAATACATACATAACCTTATGCTTTTAATGCTATGGTGTCAGTAGTGGTGGTTCTTTCATTTCTGATGTTGTAATTTGTATCTTTTATCTTTGATCCTGGCAGTCTTGCTAGAGGCTTAACAATTTGATTAATCTCTTTCAAGAATCAGCTGTTGGTTTCATTAATTTGCTCTACTGTTTTTCTGATTTCAGTTTTATTGATTTACTCTCTTATCTTTATTATTTTTATTTCTGATTGCGTGGTGGGGTTTTTTTGGCTTTTCTTTATGTAAATTCTTAAGGTGGGTGCTTACATTATTATGAGAACTTATTTTTTCATAAAATAAGCATTTTACATAATAAATTTTATTCTGCACATTTATTTACAGACATCCCACAAGTTTGATATGCTGTACTTTCATTTCTAATTAGTTTGAAATAATTTATTATTTTATTTGACACTTCTTCTTTGACTATAGAGTATTTAGAAGTATGTTGTTAATTTCAAACTGTTGGGATTTTTTTTTCCCTGGTATCTTTCTGTCATTTATTTCTAGTTTAATTCCACTA